TAGTTTCTAGACTGGAAACGCTCTAGGTTTCCCTCCAAGGCACAAAGACAGAAACTACGGTGGCTGCAAAATTGCACAAAACTCAAATGCATCCTTTTTAGGTTTAGGGTTTTTCCTTCTGGGCTACGGAAAAACATGGTGTTCAAACATGGCAGACTCCACAGTAGCAAAACTGCTTCATTCTTCAGGCAACAAAATACAACAAACAATCTATTTGGTAGGTGATTTATACACTTTTATGAAAAACATAGTTAGGATATTTAAATATATTTCTGACAAATAGAGCCTCCTAATGTTAAACACTGAGACCTTCTAGATACTTAGGGTCCAGTTTTATGATGTGGGACTAAAAGAGTTTTGTTCTGATATCTGAGTTTAATCTGACTCACAGACTCTATAGAAAAAACGGTCATTTTAACTCAAGTAATCATGAACTTAATTTTAAAGTGGAGAGAAACAAAATAGAACTAATGAGAGACGATTTAGATATATGTGCCGCCAACGCTTCATTGGAATAGCATGCTGGTATCACCGCTAGATGCCATTAAATCCTTCACACTGGACCTTTAAAGCCCTCAAATGTCTGGCGTTAGTCTATAAATTCATAAAAAGACCAAAACCAAGAATTGAAGAAGTGACCTATATTTAAAAAACAGTCACAAATATAAAGTTTAAGTTTCAAAAAAAGACTTCCTAAAACATCTGAGCACTGTAGTTTTTATCAACCGTTACTGAAACAAGAGAAAATAGTGAATTTGTTGGGGACTATTTTCAGCTGTGGATTAATACACATTTGGTGTATTAGGACGGTGTGTGTGTGTGTGTGTGTTCATTATAATGCAGGAACATGTCGTCCAGTGCTACAGTTGTGGCTCACTGATGTGTAGCTTTTGTACAACAATGGAGCTCTACGGCACAGAGGAAGAAGATATTTCAGCGTTTGGAAACAATGAGAATTAACTTGTTGTTGTTTATGGTCTTTTTAATGGGATTTAGAGTTAATAAGAGAAATATAAAATGTCACCAAACGTATCTTTTAAACTTCACAAAAAGACGCCAATATGCAAAACTGTTTTCAAAGCTATTCCTGGAGCTGACTCAGCAGATTTTGACCACATAAGGACTCAGAGTATACTTAATTTTCCAGTCCAAACACCTGCATACAGTTACTATACAGTCAGTCACAGAGACAGAGCTATCAGCTCAGCTACATAATTATTCAGTCTGAAACAATCTTCCACTTTCCTCGATTGCATGCATCAGTAAACTAAGTAAGTTGGTCTTCTTTCACAGGAAAAGAGTCAAACTGGCACTTTATAAAGCGATAATCATGACACCAAACCATCTCAGTTGCCAATTTAATATATCTACATCTAGCTAAAACTAATACAACAGTCCTGTAATAAATCCTCCCCGAATGAAGGTTATAAAGTTCAGTTTTTGTTGAAACTTTGCAGGCTGTTAAACTCTGTTGTCTCCGGATTCTCAAGCCCACCGCAGTGCAGAAAGAAGCTGCACAAAAATACAAATTCAAAATTCAGTGGCAGGTTTTTTCACAAAGACATGAAGTGACACATGAATGTTAATTTGTATTTTTAAAATCCCACAATGCAACCCTGTATCCTGGAAATTACATAGAAATACAACTAATTTGCAACAGCGAGTATGTTTTGAGAGAAACGTAATGTCATCTGAGTCAACATAACAAGGAAACATTTTTAATATCTGCAAAATGTTACCAGAGTTTTTTTTCCCTACAATATTAAAGCATGATGTTGCTCTTTTATGGTTATATTCAGACACTTACAGACGTGATATAAAGATTAAACCCTGATCTGTCCCTAACCTTTTGTTACCTGAACCTAACAGGAGACTTCTCTGGCGTCCTGCCCTTCGTACACCCACCATCCGCCCTGACTACCAATGACTTGCGTGTGATGCATTTAAAAAGAAAAACGTTGCCACTGAACATACTAAAGTCTCTAATTACCCCGCAGAATGTAAACATTATTTCTGGGGGACTGCGGGGCTGCACAAAGTGAGCAGGTGTAGGTACTAATTCCCCTGAAGCACAGTAAATATGAACACTGCAGGTTGTTCTTAGTAATATATCATCATCCAGTGACATATCCCTCTGCTCCGTGTGTCTTCTACTTGAATTAAAGTAACTGTTGAAGAGTTTAAACACATATATTCTCTCTCTTATCTGTGGCAGTATCTCTCCTTGCAGATAGTTTTGGTTTTATTTGTTCAAGTTTGTGTCCGAGATTTCTACCTGTAACTCCAGTACAACGCAGGTGTTTGGTTTGTGGTGCTCACAGCATCGAAAGATTATATATTGGTTTAAAAGAGACAATATCCCTGATAATCAATATCCCTGATAATCAAACACATAACAACAATTTTTCTAGAGATAATTTCTGCAGTAGAAAGAGGTTCCAGTGAGGTATATTGATTATCCAGAGTAACTTTATGAGAAAGATACATTGCTGTTGATTAATTTAAGCACCACAGACTATATTTAATTCACCTCTGTTGTATCAGAGACAGATAACCTCTGAATATAACTATCTGCATGGAGAGACGCTACCACACATAAGTGAGAAAATGAATGGATGAACTGTCATTAAAGGTACAATGTTGAACTTTTAGAAAATAATGTGTTTATTGACACCGGTGGCCGTTAAGTGAACTGCAGTTAGCGTTCCTGTTGCTCGCGATACGTGGGCACGAGCAAGGATTATCTGGACATCTGGGACGTGACATAATCGAGACTGAAATTATCTGAATGCTGGAAGATAAATGACAGTAATAAGGAATAGCATTAGAGTAACGTTACTATCTGCATGTTTTTCATTAGGCTCCATTATTCATTGTTTCCTAAAATACTGTTTGTCACAATACATAAGTTAGTATCATGGATCATGTTAGCTGGGGATGTGATTTGGTCCAAATTGAAAATGATTTGGCAAGCTAACCAACTAAAATATCCACTCAGATAGTATTTTAATAGTGAGCAAGAAAGTTTAACTTAGCTACGCTGCATGGATCTGGTGTTGGTTGATTGAATAATGTTAACTTATTTAAGTAATTTGGCAAGTTAACAAGTTCTGGGAGTCGATGAAATAAGTTTATTCACGCTCCCTCTGTAGATAAAAATGTCTCATTCGATAACAAAAACATTACGATTCCTATATTCAGGTGATTATACACTAATAAAAACATACCTATGAGTATTACATTAAATTTCTCATACAGTAAATGTCACACTGGACCTTTAAGTTATTATCCGTTTCGTATAAATAGTTTTAAATCCGTACATATTGCCCCTTTAATAACACAGCCACGCCTCCTAATGACGAGAGCAGCATGAAATCTTCTTCCGATAGAAAGTTTAAATGAATGCAGCTGTCGCACTTCTGATCTTATGCTGACAAAAACACTTCCATGAAACAGAGGCATTTCACTTCTCTCACACAACAATTGTCTATAAAGAAAAGTTCCACTTTTTCATGCTGCTTGTTCCTGGTTTTGTTTCGTGGCTGGTTGGTGTCCTCAGCCCCCAGGCAGAATTTCTCAGCAAACAGCCTCAGGTGCATCCTGGTATAGCAACCAACTGCCACAATACACACACACACACACACACACACACACACACATACACGGCTCCCTATGAAACAGAAGCAGGTCAAAATGCTGCTTATTTAGCTTTTATTTGTGCCACATCAGGCATCAAATGGCTCATATGAGGGACAGTTTGTAGCTTAAAACCTGCTTTATGTTCTGAAGTTAAATGGAGTTGCTGCTGGGAAAAGTTTTACCTTAATACAGTAAGAAATGTTTCTAAAACCTGACGTAAATAACAGCACCAGAGATCATTAAAAGGTGATAAGAGTGACAACCACAAAGTCAGTAAGTACGAAGATTCATGAATTGTAAAAGACAGGATTTAAAGATATTTGGCATAACTGAATCTAACAAATATCGTCTCAGATAATCCAGATAATAGTATATTATTTTATGATTTTACCAGAGATATTTTTCACATTAAAACACAGGTAAGCCTCCTATATAATATACAGCATACTCTCTTCACGCTGAAGCTGAAATATTACAACTCTCTAAAGTAACAAACCAAATAAAAACTAAGAGAATTAACTTTTTTTGCAAATGTAAAGACTTAACAAACAAACTCTTTGTGGAGAAGTCTGGTCTCCCTGACACTGACAGAATAAACAGAGCGTATAAACACACTTTCCTGAGTCACATCTGTTGAACCTGTCTGCGTGTGGAGATGATTCAGCCGTGTTTACGTGCGCCATGAGGAAGGTGAAATATCCTTACCTGCCTGTTCAGCTTGAGCCTCCGACTGCTCCACCGTGTCTGCACTCATCTTAATATCTGTAATGATAAATATAGCTGATTTTCCTACAGGATTGTAACTTTAACCAGGACAATGAAGCACTCAGGCCACCCAGGAAAATGATCTTGAGTTTATTCTAATGCGCCCTCCCCTCTACACACACCACCGCACAAACTGTACACACACACACTCCTGTGTGAACCCTAGTTATAATATTCATAAGCAAGAGCCGCAAGCACTAGCATCCCCATATGAAGTAACCACACATGATATAAACTCGTTAAAATTCACGTGTGTGTGACGTGAAATAATGAAGACATTTAAAAGTCAGTGATGAGCAGGTGTAGGAGGAGTGACTCACCTCAGACTCTTAGTTTGTGCTGCTCCTGGCTGCCGTCTGTCTCCCTGATTATTCAAAAGAAAGCTCGTATTGGGATAAAAAGTTTTGGAAATCCACGGCTGCTCATCAGCATTTTCCTAAGTGGAGAAACGTTCACCTCTGCAGCACACCCTGCACTGCCTGATAGGCTGATTTGCATATGCCACAGTGCGTCCTATCCAGCTTCAGACTGTTTGCATAAAACAACAATGGGGTTACTGCAAATTACAGCATGCGTGTGTGTGTGTGTGTGTGTTCGTGTGTTGGTGTGTGGTGTGTGTGTGTGTGTCATCCCCAGAGTGCTTTGGGTAGAAGAAGATGTATTGTTCCTGCTACCTGAGATAGCTCTGGGTGTGTTAGTGATGGGGGGTCATCTTGTTGCTCTTTTTCTTCAAGTTAAAATCATGAAATAATAAACTAAACTTTAAATTTGATGTTTGAATTCTGAATTCAAACATCAAAAGTAAGTTAGTTCAACTCAAACTGATTGTTGGAGGAAACCTTAAACGTTTATTAAAAACTTTAAAATGGTAAATTCAAGTTAATTGAAGTTGACTAATACGCAGAGTTTCTCCAAATTTATTTTTCAAATGTGTGAACAGGAATTTTTCTGAATAAATTTATTTAAATGCATCTCTTGTATACAAATGTTACCACTAAAGTTTTAATTTTATTCCATTTCCAGTTACATTACCTGTCAAAAACAGCTGGACATATGATAAAAACAATTATAATTAATTGATTATGAAAATGGGTAGCCAATTAATTCAGGTGTTTTTTATGTGACAAACATCAAATATTACACATTTAGGGGATCATTAAGAATTATTTGGATTGCATAGTATTTGCGTTTGATGATCATTATACAAACTGGAAATAAGAGCATGCCTGAAGGCGGTATATACTTCGGATACTTATATTGTGGTGGTAGTGCTTACGCGAGCAGTCGCCTGTACTTAAAATACTGCACACAATTGAAGTTCATTCAAAGAACAACTGAGTGCTTCAACCAATTAATGTTAATTTCATGTGACTGAGTGACTT